GACCCTTGCCCATGGAATGATGCTGCCCACATTTAGGGTGTCTCTTTCCACCTCAGTTAATGTAATGTAGATAATCTCACATAGGTGTGCTAGAGAGTTGTTTCTATGGTGATTCTAAATTCCATCAAACTGACAATCAAGGTTAACCATCACAATCCTACCTCTTGTCAACTTGACATCTAAACATAGCACTTCCTGTTTTTTTTGTCTTTTTGAGACAGGGTCTCCCTGTAGCCCCAGCTGGCCTGGAACTCACTACGTACATCAGACTGGCCTCTGCCTCCCAAGTGCTGGGATTAATGTGCATCATGCCTGGCCATTTTTATTAGTTTTTATTTATTTTTATTTTATGTGTATGAGTGTTTTGCCTGCATTGTATGAAAGTGCACTACATGTGTGCAAAGCCCACAGAGGCCAGAAGAGGGCATCAGATCCCCTGGAACTGGAGTTACAGATGGTAGTCACCATGTAGGTGCTGGGACATGAACCTGGGTCCTCTGCAAGAGCAGCCAGTGCTCTAACCACTGAGCCGTCTCCAGCCCTCAGGATTTCTTTTTCAATTTTCTTTCTCACTCTTGGCATTTCACTCAACACCCTTGTCCAAGTCCCACAAGGACAGTGCATTAAACTCTGCTTATAGCACTCCAGGGCTTCTCCAGCCCAAAGTTCCAAATTCTTCCACATCCCTCATGCAAACAAGTTCCAAAGGCCAAGATCCACATGGTCAGGTTTATCACAGACTGCCCCACTTTGGAACCAGTTTTCTGTATTAGTTTCTTATCTAAGCAAAAACAAAAAACCGAAAAAAAGCAATTTAAGAAAGGGTTTGGATGGGTACTGTCCTGCATAGGCACGGGTATTTGAACACTTGATCCTCAGTGGGTGCTCTGTTTGGGGAGGTTATGGAGCCTTTAGGAGCCACGTTGGAGGAAGTACGTCGCTGCATGTATGTAAGTGCATCTGTGTTGCACAAGGCCCAAGGAGATCAGAAGAGGATGTCAGCTTCCCCTGGAACTGGAGTTACAGATGGTAGCCACCATGTGGGTGCTGGGATTTGAACCCAGGTCCTCTGCAAGAGCAGACAGGGCTCTTAACCACTGAGCCAATGCTCTAGCCTCCTAAATGTGTAATTTTAAAAGGAACAAGGTGGAAAAGTGATTAGGGGATGACACCTAAGTTTATCCTCAAGTCCACATGTACCCCGCCCACACACACAAGTACCCACACCTGCAAATGCATGTGTCTACATACTCACATGTGGGGAGCGAGCACGGCCGAGCCAGCCAAAGATGGCGCCCTGGCTGGCTGCCAAACCTCGTGCTGTTTACTTCAACTCTTGGCTGATTGCCAAGGCTCGTGATCCTCGCTTGTTTACTCCAACTCCCTGAAGCATGGTGAGCCGAACAGGTGCTGCCTGCCTGATGATCTTGTTATGTGGCCAACGAACTGCACTCTGCCTGCCTGCTGCACGTGTGTGTGCCCTGATTGGTCCTGGCTTGGGGGAGGGCTGTTGGAAACGCTATATAAAGAGCTGAAGTGTGTAATAGGAAGAATAAGAATAGTGGGTGAGATAATAAAGAGAAACAAAGAATGAAGAAAGAGAGAATAAAGGAAGAATGAGAAAAAGAAGCTTGAACCTCACCTTGGTGTCTGTGTCGTCTTTCCTCGGCTCTGCTGGACAGAGTCGTGGCTCACGACACCCACACATGAAGGTTTGCATGACCTCAGTAGACCACTTCTCAGCCCTGGTCTCATGCAGAAAAGACCTAGAGCTAGACCTCCGGGCAGATTTTTATCTCCTCCCTCCAGACCACTGGCCACTCTCAAGTCCTTTTGGTTGATGGTGGCCATCCTGGCTGAGAAGATGACATGGGGGGCGTTGCTGAGGGGGTGCTGGTTTCTTCTGTACCTGTTGGAGTTTGGCCCCTCCTGCTTCCTCATATCCTAGTTTCCCAGGTTGGGTCATTGATACTCTGATCCCAGGAGGGGGGCAGGGAAGGAGGCAGGAGATCCAAGTTGGGGGCAAGAAGGGGCTGGGGCCTCTGCCTCCAAGGTTTCCAAATTGGGCTCCAGAAGACATTACATTGGGACCTAGGAAGAATTTAGGGTCCCTGCTTTTCACTACGTAGACCAGGTGTGGGGAATTGCTGTGACAGACCTGACCTTGGTGTTTTTGGGAGGACTGTGGAAGTGTTTGGAACTTTGGGCTGGAAAGGCCATTGAGTGCTCAGAATTTGTTGCTGTAGAGCTTGGAACAGTTATGCTGAAAGAGTTGTAGACGATGGAGGCCTGGCTTGTGAAGCTTCAAAGGGAAGCGGAGACCATCA